AAGACCTTCTCTCAAAAAGAAAAAAAAAATGTATGGACTTCATTTCTCATATTAAAGCTCTCAGAGAAAAGTAAAAACAAGGTAGAAGAAGGGTGGAAGGTGAGACAGTTTTATAATAATTAAAAGCACTCAGACACTGCAAAATGGTAGACATTTGATAATAAACAAAGGAAGAGAAGAAGGAAGAAAAGAAGGAAGAGCAGTTGTGGGGGAGGAAAATAGGAAGGAGGAAAAGAAAGGGAAAAAGGAAGGTAGTGGGAGGGTGGGAAGGAAGCCAACACGGAAGGAGGAAGCTGAAAGGAAGAAAGAGGAAAGGTATGGGAAAGGAAGGAAGGGGAAGGATGAGGAGGAGCAAGAAGGGAAGGGAAGGGAAGGGAAGGGAAGGGAAGGGAAGGGAAGGGAAGGGAAGGGAAGGGAAGGGAGGCAATCACCTAAAGTGTCCTGTTGTGATATCTTTCTGACTGCAGCAGACTCTAAGCAGCACAAGGTGACACACAAATGTGTGCAAAGAATTTGATTACCTGAAAAGTAGCTGACATGAGGATCACAGACTCAAGGCCAGCTACAGGAGCCTATTTTCACTGACTAAAAATAAAAGGAAAAAATGTGGGGTTGTAGCTCAGTGTTTCCTGGGTTCAGTCCCCAGTACTGGAAAGCAAATTTACTCATTATTTCTTCTGTTGGGTCTAATCTCTTACTAAGCCTGTTTTATTATTTTTAAAAACTACATTTTGCTGTACATTATATCTTTTAAAATTTTCATTACTTAAAATATTTTTCATTCTTGTGCTGAAACTTTCTATTCATTGATTCATACTGAAGACATATTCCCTATATCCCTGACCATAATTGTAATAACTGCTCTAAAATTTTTGTTAATTGATTCAAGCATCTGGCTCATTGTGAAGCTAGTCTCTTGGTTTTTTTCTCACATATGGGTAATTTTAGATGATAGATCTTCAAGTGGTTCTACTCGGGGTTAGGGGGTAAACATTCAGAAGATGGGGACTAACTGGAGGTCCTTATATTATTGGGGGCTTGTCCAGTTTTGTGCCCCTTTTTGTGGTCTAAAAGCAAAGAAAACTCAGAGTATGAGACAAAATAAAAGTTTTCTTTTCTTAAGTGAATTATTTCAACTATTTTGTTATAATAATGGAAAGTTGAGAGGTCAAGGTGTTACATTTTAAAAATTTATTCTGTTGCTTTTGGGGGAGAACTGGGAATTGAATTCAGGACCTCACACTTGCCAGGTAAGAGCTGTGCCTATTATTATTCTTTATTATTCTATTCTATTCTATTATATTCTATTTTATTCTATTCTATTCTATTCTATTCCTTTGAAACTTGCATGTATTTCAGTCCACAATCCTGTATATGATGGAAGTATTTCAATCCACCTCCTGTCAAATAAAGTCATTTTTTTCAGATACACTAAAAACTAGCAGAGCATAAATGATGTGAGAGAGGAAATGGAAGTGCTCTGCTTTATAAATTGTACTATATGCAAAGCAGTACTTCAATGTAGATTATGGATTAGGAGGTTAACACATATCTGTGTCCAGTGGCATAAATAGTAAATTAATTCATGAACAGGAAGAGTGTCAGCTCTAAGATTTCTGAGGACCCAGATGTCATTTGTAAAGCATCATCAGTTTCTATTGCTGTCTTAGAATGTCAGCTTTCCCATTGCTGGACACAGAACCATGCACCTACAAATTTAAGGAGGAGGGAATGATTTAGCCTGTGGTTGCAAGAGATTCAGCACAAGGTTGGTAGGCTCCCAGGCAGGAACATCATGGAGGAAGCGTATGTTAAGGCAAAGCTGCTTAGTTTATAGCATCCAGGAAGCCAAGAGGGGAACAGTGATAATAAAGACAACAGCAAGTTGATGATTCCACCTAATATAACAACTACCCTGCTGACAAATGAAAATGCAATAATCCTACGCGAGTCTCAATGATTACAACAAGATGAAAACATAGAGGATGCGTCTTTAAAACCTCGTCAGTGGCACAAGCTGAAGGCCTGCAGAGTGAACCCCTCCAGCTATGCAACCTCAGCACCTCACCAGGAACATAGTAAGGCCCTGCCCAGTGTCCCAATCAGCCTGGGAACCTCAGGGCCTGGTTGGACCCCAACCATGTAACCTGGGTAACTCACTGGGAACCTGGTAAGGCCCCGTCCAGTGCCCCAATCAGCCAGGGACCTTCAGGGAGGTGCCTCGGGGCCTGGTTTGGCCACACCAAGGGATCTCAAGCAGCTGGAGAATCTCCTGAGCTCAGTGAAATGAGCTGGAGGCCTGCACAGTGAACCCCATACAGCCATGCAACCTCAGCATCTTGCTTAGAACCTGGTAAGGCCCTGCTAACTGACCCCAAAGAGCTGCAGAAATTGGGTGTATCATGTAGTATAAGCTGAAGGCCTGCATAACATACACATTCTAGCTCTCAGTCTTGGTATGCCACTCATAACCTATTAGAGTCCTCCCAGCATCCTCAAACAGCTAACAAGCTTCACATTACCATATGGGGTGTGCTGAAGGCCTGCCCAGGGTACTCTCCACAGCTGGGCAGCCTTTGAGTGCCACTAGGGATGTGGTAAGGCCTGATAATGACTGGAGAAAATCCCTGCAGTACGCACAGATATGATTCAGTTCAGCTGATTGCTACAAGTGGACTATTGGTTAATCCACCACATTGACCACAGTTGTAAAAACTAATTTAGAATCTTTGTCAATTGATTTGAACATCTGGCCCATCTTGAAGCATTTGTTTGGCTTTTCCTTGCATATGGGTAATGCTTAATGATTGGTCTACTGGTTCATTGGGAAGTGGGTGAACCTTCAGAAAATGGGGCCTAATTAGAGGTCCTTATATCAGAGGGCTGTGCCCAGCTTTGTACCACCTTTTGCTACCTAAAGGCAATGGGTTCACACAGTAAATATTCATTTTATGAGCCAAAATACCCCTCTTTTTCATAAGTTACTTATACTTGTTATTTCATTATAGTAATAGAGAACTGAGAAGTCAAGGTATTATATTTTTCAATTGTATAATATTATATTAGAATCTACATATATTTCAAATCACAATCCTGCATATGATGAAAATATTTCATTCTGTCTCCTGTCAAATGAAGACATTTTTCAGATAAACTAAAACTGTAGTAATTAAAAGATAAGGAATGTGACAGAAGAAACAGAAGTGCTCTATTTAGTAAGTTCCACTGTATGCAAAGTAGTACTTGAATTCAGAGCATGGAGTAGGAGATTAACATATATGAGTTCAAGGGCATCAGTGGTAAACTGCTTCATAAACAGGAAGTGTCAACTCTAAGATCTTAGAGTACACTAATGGCACTTGTAAAAGCATCATCAGTTTCTATTACTGTCTTAGAATGTACACATGAATATCAGTCAGCTTTGCTATTACTGAACACATACTGGACACAGACAGATTAAAAGACAAGGGTGTGGAGATGGGGCACAGATGAAATCCAGTGATAGGTGATGGTTGGAAAAATAGCTCACTTCTGCCTCACAGTGGTTCCAAAGAATCCCTAACACCATCCTGTGATTCTCGTCCCAGTGCTGGAATACATAATTGGAATAAACATTCAGCACATGACAAAATCTCAACAGCTTTAAAATGGGGCGTCCCATGGGTCTCCAGTGTTTTCTTACTTGTGGAATGAAGGCTCCTAAGAGATAAAAGGTGAAATGCAGGCTGCTAGATCTGACTTTACCTCTGAAAAAGCACACAAAAGCAGCAACACTAATTCCTCCATTCATCATAAAGATTAGTGTCACGATTAGGGATTGAAAGGATACAGGAGTGTGATTCTCACCCCATCCTCTTCAAAATGACCTGTTTGGACTGTGCAAAACAAACATCACAAGGCAGGTATGAGGTGGCACAAAACTATGGTCAGAATTGGATTACAAGAGTATTACCTAATAGGAAATGGGGATCAAATAGGGAAGCAAGTCACACAGCAAGCTCACACGGGAAGGACAATGACTTTCTTGGATGTGGTAGTTTAAGAAGGTTTTGGTCTTATACCCAAGGTGGTTGAGGCCTATTTAGAATATCAGTCACTGCTGTCCATCTCTAGGGGAGGTATGTGGGTAAAATCCTTCCACTTTTTCCTGAAGCCTGATCTCCGGTGAATGGGACACTAGCCACAGTTCTCTTCCACACTGACCTGTTCAGGGCCCTCCCATATCTAATTGCCCACAGTATTTTTAAAGAGCTTACCTGTATATAATAGTATCTGCCACCCAAGAGCAAAACACAGCTAACAGATCAGCAGCAAGAGCAGCTCATGGCAAGAATTCCTTAAAGGGATTCTTCTAACTTCTAATTCTTTGTAGAGTTAATATGAAATACGGTAGAAAAATACAATGAAAATTTCTGAGACCTTTGGGAAAAGGGAAATGAGGTAGAGGGAAAAAGGCAGGTGTAAGACAGGAGGACAGAGAAGGTGGGAGCTGGGACACACAGCAAGATAAATGCACCCATGATGAGGTCACTGCAGAGCTAATTTGTGGAGGATTTGAGGAGCCGGAGTGAAAGAGAATAAAAGAAACAACTATTCTGTTATGTACAGGTACCAACTCCCCACTGTGAATGTAATCCTAATGTACTAAAAACATAGCAATAAAAAAAAATCCTTTCAAACCACTAGTTTGCACAATTAAGACATCTTGATAATTACAAATTTAAGAATCACGTCTGGATAACAAAATACACTGTCACCGAGCAAAAGCCATTAAAAAAAGATAACATCTCTGTAAAATACATATCAAACAATTTCAAAGATATAGTAACTGAACAGAGCCCAGGGCAGAGACTGGAGGTTGAAATAAGGAAATAGAAAGGGGCAGAACTTGTTTGTTTGGCCAGTGCTCCTCCCACATCACCCTGGCAACACAGGGCTCCAGCATTCAACTGGGGCATCCCATTGGTCTCCAGTGTCCCTTCCCACTCCACCCCACCCCTCCACACCACCACCAGGATTACTTTCAGTTCTCACCTGGCTGCTCCCTTGGTAGGTATCTGGGAACTATATAGTAGATCTGTCCACTCCTCTTCATGGACTCACGACTTCTTTTCCTCCTCCAGGTGTCCAAAGCTGTGTTAAGCACTTCGTGGTGGACAAAGGTCAGAAGATTACAGAAGAAAAAGGTGCATTTCCTTTCTGGTTTTGAAGCCTTTCTTGGGAACCAGGGCAGGGCTGGAAGGAGGCAGCTTTCCAACTTCCTGCTGCACAGATCCTGAGGCCTGGGAGGAGTGAGGCTCAGAGCAGGAAGGGTCCTTCTCCCCAGAGACAGCTCCTTCTCTTGACTGAGAGCCACCCCACTGCCCTTTTACCTCCTTGCTAGCCTGTACTTGTGATTTCTCTTTGGCTAAGTGTGCCAGGATCCTGATCTCAAGGGCAGATAGTTGTTTCCTGGTGCTAAAGGGTCAGTGCCCTAGGGCTGTTTTAATTGCAAACTAAGAGTGCCTTGCTTTTCAATGTCTTTGGTCCTCACTTTACCTGTGACTTTCTGGGGCAGGTACAGTACTTAGAGTGAAAACTGACAAGGCTAATTCTCCTTACTCTTAAGGAAGAATCCCTAAGTGTTTGCTCTCTTAAGAAGTGACACATTTTCTCATCTGTCTATGCTTATGTAATATCTCTAACCTAGCAGGTCTTTGCAGAGTAGCCATAGTGTCATTTTCAAAATTATTGAAGATGTTTTATCTACATCAACAGATCATTTATATGTTTCATTTCTAATGCCTAACACATTTATTTCTTTTTTGATCCATGTGTCCTCCATAAGCTTTAGGCTTCTGTTAAAACCTTGTATTTTTAGGTTGTAATTCCAGCATATCAGCTTTATCCCAGCATTTAGTTTTGTCACTACAGGTACATTTTTCTAGTACTGTTTTTCACATTTCATTTTTCTGATTATTTAATTCCTATGATTTCCAAGTCCATAATAAGGCTTTAAACAATGTTTGGCCTCCATTTGACATCATCTTTCATTTCAGATTTAAATTAAGCTGCTGGGACATAGCTCATTATTAATAATGATTAGTCAGAAGGTCACATCTAATATTGGGGGGCTTCTCTAAAAAATTAACTTTCTAATTTCTCTGAGATAGCATTTTTCATCTCTTGGACATCTGGTATTTTAAAAATACATTTATGTCATTTCCTCCCTAGCACACATATGCACATACACGTTTAAACTACTTTCCTTGGTAAATTTTAAGGTTTCGAGACCAAGATGCAATCCTACCATTCGGAATAATGTTTGCCTGGAATCAACTAGTAGTCAGAAGCCAGCTTCTAAATCCACATTTTTATGAATGTTATTATATCTGTATAGTGACTGTACTTTTTTTTTATTAACTCTGTGAGATAAAGGAGAGATTTCTGAAGGGCTACATTGGTTAATTCCAGGTAAAAGTAAATAAAGTACATAGTATTGCTTTGATTCACAATCTTTCTCCACAATTTGTGTTGTACACCCAACTGCGCAAGAATCAAATCAGCCTTGTTCTCTGCGCGTGTGTGTGTGTGTGTGTGTGTGTGTGTGTGTGTGTGTGTGGTGTGTGTGTGTGTGTGGTGTGTGTGTGTGTGTGTGTGTGTGTGTGTGTGTGTACCAGGAATCAAACTATCAACCTCACACTTGCGAGACAGGTGTCTGTCACTCTGCTAAAACCCAGATGGGAAACACAGCAGATTTCTCTATAATTTTAGAATTTAATCTAAAAATTGAATTTGATTCTATTCTCCAAATCAGTTTGTAACCAGCGTGGTGTAAAGATTCAAATTCATGAACCAAAGTACCATCTTGTCTTTGGAAGTCATTTACTGTTGTATTTGTACATTTAATAAAAGGATTAACTTATTTTTTTCTTACTAAAATTAAATTAGGGCATATGAATAGCAAGTGGTGAAACTGTTTAGATGTGGGAGTTAGAGCAGCGAGGTTGGAGAACATGCCTTGAACAGGAAATTTAAGAACAGAAACATGTTGATAGCAAAGGTATCACAGTTGTCCTGTGATCTAACAAGTTTTATGGTTTTAACACTGAACCTGTGATTTTTGGTGGGGGGAAGAAAAGAAAGGACTATGCAAGAATGTTGGTAGAAAAGGACTCCCTTTTTCCTTTCAAGTAAAGGAAGGAATACTGAAAATCATTCTACATATAAATTTAATCATATGATGAACTGAGAGTAAAGTACCTAAAATTATTATGACATAGTTAGTATGATGACAGTAAACTCCTTCTGTTTTTCTATTCCTTTATCTTTTTTGACTTTCAGTATTTTGGTCTTGATACCTATGTGACTTTTGCCTACTCAGTTTTCATTTTATTGCTACGTTTCTTACTTTGGCTCATTTTATTTTCGCAGCTTCAGGATCCAGAGCAGGAGAAAGCTTAGAGGCAGAAAGACAAGAAAGGGGACGAACATCCATGGCTTCATCAATCCTGGAGAATGTCAAGGAGGAGGTGACCTGCCCCATCTGCCTGGAGCTCATGACAGAACCTGTGAGCACTGACTGTGGCCACACTTTCTGTAAACCGTGCATCACTTCAAGTTATGAGTCCACAGAACGCGAAAAAGGCGTCAGCCAGTGCCCTGTGTGCCGAGTCCCTTACCAGTTTGAAAACCTGAGGCCCACTCGCCATATGGCCAACATAGTGGAGAGGCTCAGGGAGTTGACACTGAGCCCAAAGGCAGATCACTGTGCCCTCCATGGGGAGAAACTCCTGCTGTTCTGTAAAGAGGACGGAAAGGTCATTTGCTGGCTTTGTGAGCGTTCCCAGGAGCACCGTGATCACAATGTTCTTCTCCTGGAGGAGGCTGCACAGGAGTATCGGGTGAGAGATCAGGGTTGTGGGATTATAGATTAGCAAATGACACCTGAGAGGAAACTTACTCTTTACACTATAGTTAATTAGTTTGCCACTACTGAACAGGTCTCTGCTTTGTGTCCATGTTGGGTTAGCTTCTACAGCCTATCATATGTATCTGTGCACTCCAGTTCATTGAAGTAAAATAGTCCTTGACTAAAAGTTCCTAGAGAAAAAAAATTTCTTGTAGTTTTTACTAGATGGGTGGAGATTTGGTGTGCAAGAGAAGTTCTGATTACTACCTATTTCAGCAGATGAATAACTATGATGAGTTCAGATACAAGTTGTTTCCTTGATGCAGATCAAGTTCCAATTCTAAGAAAGAATCAGCCTACACTTGGTGAAGTGGAGTTGAGATTAATACTGTAAGAAAAGTTATCTAGAGACATAAAGAAGACATCTCCTCAGATGTTTTTCTCATTGACTTTTTCTCAGTTTCAATAAACTCAGGTGTCTTTGGAGGTCAACCAGATTTTTTCAAAAGAATCAAGTATAACAAAATAAGACAGATTAAAGCTATGAAAACAGCAAAATGAAAGCAATACAAAATTCAAAACAAGATAATACAAAATAATAATAGCTACCATAATACCTCTTTCTTTTCTTCAAAATAACTGTCCATACCATCAGAGATAATAAAATCAAACATAACAAGACAGAATAAAATCAAACAAAACAAAACAATGAAAGTGACACATGAGTTCTAAACAACATAATAAAAGATTAACAATGGTTTCTACCTTCCCATTTTAGATATTTTCTCCACTTTGACTTTTGCAATATGTATTGTACATTTTCTATCCCACTAATGCCTTCAGCTTTTTATGCTAGGGAGATAACACAGTGTTCACCAATATGAGTCTGAACCATTTCACCCATGAGTATGATGTCAAACTGCATCCATTTATCTACAAGATCCTTGAGATTATCCTTCTTTATATTTTTTTTGGCAGTACCGGGGATCAAACTCATGACCATATACTTGCAAGGCAAGTGCTTATGCCTCTGAGCTAAATCCCCAGTCCTATTATTCTTTATAGCTAAGCAGTTTTCCATTGCATAAAAATACCATGTCTTTCTTATCCATTTTGTGGTTAATGGGCAAGCTATTGCTGCTTTTTTCTGATTTCCTGTTGCATGGAACCTTGTTTTCTCACCTTTGACTTTCAGTCTATGAATTGCCTTTCAAGTTAAATGTTTCTTCTCTAGCACATATTGAAGCGTCTTGTTTCTTGATCCACTCTGCCTGAGTTTCTTTTTGTTAATGAATTGAGTCCATTTACATTAATGGTTACAGCTAATATGCACTGGCTCATCTCTGCCTTGCTCTTGTCCTGCCTTTGGCTCTCTGCCTTTCCCCTCTATTTTACTGCTTACTCCAGCTGAGCAGTCCTCCCGTGCCACTGCTCCTGGAACCATGATAATTTTTATCCTCTAGAATACCCTTCAATATTCTTTGTAAGTTTGATTTGATGGTCAGGAATTTCTTCAGTTGTTCTTTGTCATGGAAGTATTTTCTTTCTCCATTATTTTTGAAAGATTGTTTTGCAAGGCATATCAAACTGGGTTGGAAGTTGTTTTCATTCAGGACTTGAAATACTTGGTGCTCTTCTTGATTAGATGGTTTGTACTGAGAAGTCTGCTGTGATTCCTATGGGTTTTCCATGATAGGTGACTTGTCTTTTCTCTAAAAATTTTTACTATTCTGTTTCTGTGCTGCATTTCTAGGATTTTTTTTTTTTTGAGATCTTGATTACTATATGTCTCAGCATACGTTTATTTTGGTTATGTGTAGTCTGAAGGTCTACATGCCTCTCTTATCAGTGTGCCAGATCATTTTCCCGTGTTTGGGATGTTTTCTGCTAGTACAACTGTAAATATTTCTTTTTATTTCATTTGTGTTGACCCCTGCTTTTTCACTGATATCTATCAAACTTAAATTATTTTTCTTTGCATTATCTTGTGGCTTGTTATTTCCTGGTTCCTTGTTATTTTTAAGAGACCTTTCCTTTCAATCATTAGTTACAGTTCTATCTTCAAGGCATAAAAGTTCATCTTCAGTTTTTTTTCAAGTGGTTTTGTCAGGTTTCAGTGGAATTTTTAATTTCCTGGATAGCTCTTTGAGTCTGTTTCATACATTATAATTTCATTCTATATTCATTGAAGGTTTCTCTAATTTTCCTATGCTCCTCTTTTGCATCTGTCTTTTTTACATATACTTAGCATTTCTTTTATTATATTTGTAATACTTCAGTTGCTATTCTTTCAGAAATTTCAGCTTTTGACTTCCACTTACTTTTATGCTGTGTCTCCCAGACTTGTTCTATGTGGGATTGAGATCTGAGATTGTCTTTTGCTCCTTTATCTTGACATTGTCCTGGGTTCCTCCATACAAGCTGGTTGTGGAGTCCTAGGCACTTCCCACACTGGTGTAGAGGAGGCACCTGGGTTTCTCTGAACCCGGGTTCTGGAAATGAACTGGAGCATGGGGTAGGTTTCTACAGACCCTTGCAGCTACATTTAGGCTTCCCTCATGGCTATGGGTGTGTATGTGGGGGGGCTGCTTCATTTCTCAGCCTGCCTGGCTCCACTGGAACTCCCATGATGGCAGCAGGCATGCAGGAGTGTGTCTGGGTGTTCTCCTGGCCGAGGCTGGCTATCCCTAAAAAACAAGTGTCCCAATGCCATCAGGCATATAGAAGCCAAATCAACCAGAATTCATGCACATGTATATACTCTCCAGGTGCTGAGAAACTCATAGCTTGTCTCTGGTGTGATTCTATCTCACAGGAGAAGCTACACAAAACATTGAAGAAGCTGATGAAAGATAAGAAAGAGTCTGAGAAGTGGAAAGCGCACATCGAAGAAGAAAGAACTTCCTGGAAGGCATGAGAACTTGCTTCCTAAGAACATTAGCTAGAAATCTGACAGGATACTGGGAAGGAGCTCCCTTTTTATTTATCTTCTGGCACTCGTTTAGTTAAGAAGTCATTTGATGAGTGCTGTGTATACTTTTAGTTTTGTGAGTGTGGTCTGGAGAGTGATTACCACTATTGAGTATGGCTGTTTGGAAGGAGGTGTTCGCAGTGAGGGGTGCTTGGGAAGATGGCCAGTGAACACTTGTATGACTGTGGTGGTTTTTGAACTGACATTTGTGATTGGGTCATGATTTTGTCTTCTACATTGAAATTGTATCAGGGAGTGCCCAAGTGCAATGAAGAGTAAAGCGGGTAGATTGAGGTTGCTGATCAGCTGCAAGGTGTGTGTGTGTTTTGTTTTGGGGCAGGGTGAGCCTTGATAATGTTGACTTATTTAATGGCAGGAAGGGAAATTCAAAGGAACACTATGCTTCCCTAAGAATTTCTCTTAGGCCACGAATATAGCTTAGTGGCACAGTGCCTGCCTGGCAAGTACATGGTCCTGAGTTTAATACCTGGTACCAAAAATATAAATAAATAAAATGAATAAAGAACTTCTCTTTTCTATCTCCCTTCTCCTGAGAACCTCCCAATGAAAAGAGTTATTTTTCTGTCTGGCAACTTCATGTGACTGAGTGACTCTCTTTCTCATCCCTGAAGAATGAAATACAGGGGGAGATAGAAAGTGTCCAGGCTGCATTTAAGCAAATGAGAGCCACCCTGGACTCTGAGGAGGAGATACAACTACAAAAACTGAAGACAGAAGAGGAAGATATTCTGAATGGCCTGGCAGAGTCTGAAAGGGAGCTGACCCAGCAGAGCCAGCTGGTGAGAGAGCTCATCTCAGATGTGCAGCATCGGCTGCAGGGGTCGGTGATGGCGATGCTGCAGGTAATACCTCACAGGAAGTTCCAGCTTCTGAGATTCAGGACAGATGGAAGCATTTCCTTCTCTCTTCTGTTGCTGTGCTTTCAGGTGATGGTAAAAAAGTTCTTTGGGACAGTGAATACTTCACAGAAGAGTGAATCAGTTTCAGAACTTATGAGAATAATTGCATATATATATAATACATATGAGAATCCTATTTCAATTCTTACAAAGTACAGTGCAAAAATTGAATATGGAAGGAAAGATCTATTGTATGTAGTGACATTTTCAAATTCATCATTTTCTGTGATCTGGTGCTAAATATTGATCAAGCATCTTTTCGTGATTCAGGGTAGTCACTAGTAAGCAAAGGAACTTCAGGTTACAAATGATGTTGTATTTTCCCTTCTTAAATGGAGAATTTTTCCATTTTAGTCCCTGAAAAAAATGTGACTGACTCATATTTTTTTCTTTAAATATTTAGTAAAATTCAGCAAAGAAACCATATCACCATGTTTTTTGTTTGTTTGTTTTGTTTTGTTTTCATATTTGTTTTTTGCTTTTTGTGGAAATAAAAATTTTTAAGTTGTTTTTTTTCTCTCAGGGTCATTTAGATAATCTATACTTCTCAAATTGGTTTTTGGTCATCCATATTTTTGTAACAATTTGTTCATTTTATCCAAATTGCTGAATTTGCAAACAGATTCCTCAGAATTCTTTATAATCTTTTTTCTTTGTATGTTATTATGTTGAATTTACTTGTCAGATAAAAATTGTTTCTATGTATCACATATACCATGTTCATTTGATGTATGTATACATTGTGGAATATCCAAATGGAACTAATTAAATCACTCATTATTTCACATACTTATCTTTATCTATGATAACAACAAAGTGTATTCTTTATGCAATTTTTAAGATTATAATACATTATTGCTAGGTGCACTCACTGTATTGTGCAATGAATTTCTTGAGAACATTTCTTCATTCTAAGTTAAGTTTTTTATCTTTTGACAAGGGTCTGCTCATCTCTACGCCACAGATCTTTACCCTCCTCATCTACTTCCTACTTCTCAAATCACCTTTGTTTACTCTCCATATTCTCCATATTCTCCATGTGACAATAGGCAGTATGTTTTTCTGTCGCTGCCTGTTTCATTTAACCTAAATTCCTCCAGATTCATCCATGTTGCTGCAGATGAAAAGATTAATTGTTTTCTTTCCGTTTTTAAACCAAAGAGCTTTACATTGTGTATACAGCACATCTGCTGACAAATGTGCAAATAATGACAGCACAAATCTTTCTCGTCATTGAACACAGAGAAATCAGTAGTATTACTATCTTAACTACACACACACACACACACACACACACACACACACACACACATTGCTATTATTGCCTTCTCACACAAGTGAGACAATACGATATTTACATATACTGAGTATAGTTGTATCAATTTAGCTGTAAGAGTCTCTAGTTTATCCTTCTTTATGGATGAGTAAAAGTCCATTGTATAAAAATACCACAACTTTTTTATCTATTCCTAAGTCAGTGGGCATTTAGGTTGTTTCCAAGATCTGGCTGTTACAAATTGTGCTGCTGTAAATATGGATGCACTTTATATCACTGTAGTATGATGCTTTTAATTCCTTTGGGAAGATACCCAAAAGAGAAATGGCTGGGTTGAATGGGACTTCTAGTCCTAGTTTTTGAGGAATCTTCACACTGATTTCCACAGTGGTTGCACCATTCTGCAGTCCCATCCGCAATGGAAAAGAGTTCATTTTCCCCACAGCCCTCCAGTATTTGTTATTGGTTGATTTCTTGATAACAGCCATTCTTTCTTCAGGGAAGTGAGATCTTAGTGTTCTTTTAATTTGCATCTCTCAAGTGACAGTGATGTTGAATATAGTTTTGCATATTTATTTGTTATTCATATTTCTTCATGTAAGAAATACGTATTCAGCTTAGAAGGCCATTTTTCACCTGGGTTTTTAAATCTAGTTCTGATTTTTTTTTTTTTTGAGTTCTTTATAGATTCTTGATAGTACTCATTTATCTGAGGAACAGCTGGAAAACATTTTTTTCTCATGTTGTGATTTGTCTCTTCACTCTGTTGGTGGTTTCTCTTGCTGTGAAAAAGCTTTTCAGGTGGATGAGAACCCCCCTTTTGATTCTTTGTGATGGTTCCTGTGCAATTCGGGTTTTGTTCATAAAATCTTTACCTACACCTATGTCTTCAAGAGTTTTAACTGCTCTATCTTCCAACACATTTAATGTTTCTATTTTAGTATTAAGATCTTTGGTCCATTCTGATTTCAGCTTAGTGCGTGATGAAAGATATAGGTCCAGTTTTAATTTTCAATATGTGTAGAGCCAGTTTTTCCAGCACCATTTATGAGACAAGCTATCATCCATCAGTGGCACCTTTGTCAAAGATAAGGTAGCTTAGTGTATATGGAGTTGTTTCCAATTTTCTAACCTGTAGGTATTTTGATACTCCCATTTTGTCTCTATTACCCCAGATTACCTTTGCTATTCTACATCTCTTCTTGTTCCCAATGAATTCAAGATTGTTTTGTCTAATTCTGTGAAATATGGTATTGGAATTTTGATTGGGATTACACTGAAAAGCATGGGATACCTCTCCTTTTCTTATATCCTCTTTAATCTCCTTTTTCAGAGTAATGTAGTTTTCAGTATAGAGGTCTTGTACATTCTTCATTAGATTGATTCCTAGGTGTTTCATTTTTTGGATGCTATTTTAAAAGTGTTATTTCAGGGCTAGGGATTTAGTTCAGCGGCATAAGCCCCTGCCTTGCAAGTGCGTGGCCATGAGTTCGATCCCCAGTACCACAAAAAAAAAAAAAAAAAAAGTGTTATTTCCATAATTTCTCTCTCAATGGGTTTGTTATTTGTGTACAGGAAAGCTATTGATATTTGAGTGCTGGCTTTGTATTCAGCTATGTTTCTTTATTAAATCTACTAGTCTCTTGGAGGAGTTTTTGGGGTCTTCTAAGTAGAGTATTATTTCATCTGCAAATAACATAATTATTTTTCCTTTGCTATCTTTATTCCTTTTATTTCTTTCTCTTGTCTAACTGCTTCAGCTAAAGTTTCCATGACTATGTTGAATAAGAGCAGAGACAGTGGACATCCTCATCTTTTTCCTGATTTTAGAGAGAAAGCTTCTATTTTTAATTTTTTATTTTAAAGAGATTAAGACACAAGGAGACAGAGCAAAGCAGATCAGAACAGAAACATGTAAGCAACACAGGACTTCCAACAAGACAACCAAATATTAACAGTAGCTACCGTAATGTCTCTTTCTTTGAAATAGTTGAGCACATCTTCACATACAATAGTATCAAACATAACATAGTATAAAACCACTCAAGAGAATGAAAATATTATAGGGCATTCCGAACCAAATAACAGAAAAACAACAATGGCTACTATATTATCTCATGATCCATAGAAAATTTGTTTATACTATCACACATATTAATATCCAAAAAGATACAACATGATAGAACCAATGGAAACAGAAGAACAAAGGCATGGTAGGACTTCAAAGCAAGATGATATTAAATCAGCAATGGCTGCCATAATGTCTTGATTTCTTCAAAATAGCTGTTCATACCATCAAAGATAATAACTTCAAACAAAATAGAATAAAACCATTCCAATTAATGAATGAAAACATTATAGGCTTCAAAGCAATAGTGGGGAATCATGAGTACCATGAGATCTTATGTACTCTTACTATTTCTTATACTAGGGAGACGATACAATATTTATATATGTGAGTTTGATTTATTTCACTGATGAGTATGGTGTCAAGCTGCATCCATTTATTTATAAATATCTCAATGTGATCCTTCTTTATAGCTGAGTATTACTTCACTGTATAAAAATATCACATCTTTTTTATCCATTTCTCAGTTGACGGACACTAAAGTTTTTTCCAAGATCTGTCTATTACAAATTGTGCTGCTATAAACATGGGTGCATACATATCACAATAGTATGAAGTTTTCAGTTCTTCTGGAAATATGCCTAGACAGCTGGGAGGAATAGGATTTACAATCCCAGCTTTTTGAGGAATCTCTAGACTGACCTCCACAGTGGTTGCACCAGTCTACACTCCCACCAAAAGTGCAGAAGAGTTCCTTTTCTCCCACAGCCTCTCCAGCATTTGTTATTGGTAGTTTTCTTGATCCTAGCCATTCTTTATTGGAATGAGGTGGAATCTCAGTGTTGTTTTAAATTGCATTTCCCTAATGACTAATGATGATGAACATTTTTCCATGTATTTACTTTCCATTTACATTTCTTCATCTGAGATTCATCTCGGATGCCAAATTTTGGATGGGCTCTTTGAATTTCAGGGATCTGATACTTTTTAATTCTTTATATCTTTTAGACAAAAGTCCTTTGTCTGAGGGATGGTTCACTAAGATGTTTTCCCAGTTTGTGGGTTTTCTTTTCACTATGGTGGAGATTTCTTTTGACATGCAGATATTCTTTAATAAGATATGATCCCAGTTAATGATTCTGGGAAGTATTTTCTGTGTGGTTTGATTCCTCTTCATGAATTCTCTACCTACTCATGTCTTCAAGATTTTAACCTAATTTGTATTCCAACAGATTTAGTGTTTCTGTTTTAATATTTAGATCTTTGATCCATTTAGATTTTAGTTTAGAACATGGTGATAGAACATGGTGATAGGCATGGGTTTAGTTTTAGTTTTAGCATATGGAGAGCCAGTTTTTTCAGCACCATTTATTAAAGACACTATTGTTATTCCAGTGAACATGTTTGGCTCCTTTATCAAAGATAAGGTGGTTGGAGTGTGTTTGTAGTTGTGGTTGTATCTTCTAATCTATTCCATTAATCTTAAGATCTGTTTTTATTCTAGTACCATGTTGATTTTATTACACTAGCTTTGCAGTATAACTTCACTTCAGGGACTGTGATGCCTCATGCCTTGCCTTTGCTGCTTAGAATTACCTTTTTTATTCTAGGTCTCTTCTGATTCCAGATGAATTTTAGGAGTGATTTCTCTAGATCTATGAGGTATGTTAGTTGTATTTTCATTGGCATTGCATTGAATCTGTATAACAGTTTTGGGAAAATGGTCATTTTCACAATATTTATTCTTCTTATCCATGAACAAGGGATGTCTTTCCATTTCCTGAGTTCCTCTTCTGATTCCTTTTTCAGAGTATTATCATTTTCCCTATATAGATCTTTTATTTCTGTCCTGAGATTAATTCCTAAGCATTTCATTTGTTTGGATCCTGGTGTGAAGGGGATGGCTTCTCGTATTTCTCTCTCTGTGATTTTGTTGTTAGTGTATAGCAATGCTATTGATTTTTGGGTATTGACTTTGTATCTAGCTACATCGCTGAATTTATTTATTCTATCTAGGAGTCTTTCAATGAAATTTTGGGGGTCTTCTATGTAGAGTATCATGTCATCTGCAAATAATGATAATTTAACTTCCTCTTTTCCTATCTTTACTCTTTTTATTTCTCCTTTTTGTCTAATTGCTCTAGCTAGTATTTCTATTACTATGTTGAATAGGAATGGTGATAAGGAATATCCTTTTCTTGTGCCTGATTTTAAGGTAAAGGCTTTCAGTTTTGGCCATTTAATATGATGTTGACTGTTGGTTTTGTCTTAATGGCCTTTATCATATTAGGTAAAGACCATCTATTCCAATTTTCTGTAAGGTTCTTTTCATGAATGAGTGTTGGATCTTATCAAAAGCTTTTTCTGCATCTATAGAAATGATCATGTTATATGATAGATTACATTTCTTGATTTATGTATGGTGAAGCATCTTTTTTACTTTCTCTGTGGGCTTCAATTCATACTTTAGATTATTCCTGGGTCTAGGAGACTCACTTCCCTCTTCCCCTCACAATGCTATATTCTAGCATATATATATATATATATATATATATATATATATATATATATATTCTGATATTTTGAGGATCTTCTATACCATTTACCATAATGGCTAAACTAAATTACATGATCCTCAGGGCTTCCTACATGCTAAGCAAGTGCCCTAGCCATTTCCCTCTGTTTTTTGATTTGAGAAGCCTGCCTGCCTTGTATTTAAGTCATCATGTTTCTTTAATTTGGCTCACTAAGCTTCTGTGGGTTATTAATATATTTTATAGACTCTGTAAACCTTTTTTCATAATTATTTCTTCACCTGTTTCTCTCTTTTCTCCAGGAATACCCATGGCATATGTATTGCTCGGGGTGCATTGGATGTCATCTCACATGTCTCATATCACTGAAGCTCTCTTCATCATATCAGTGTTTTTATTTTGTTTTCTTTTCTATTTCCTTTGCTTTTTTTTTAATCAAGAGTCCATCAGAGGATCAAACTCAGGGCTTTCACACTGAATTACATTCTCTAGAACTATTTCACTTTGTTTATTTTGAAACAGACTCTCACTCAGTCCCTAAATGGCATGGGCTGGCCTTGCACTTGTGATTCTCCTGTCTCACTCTTCCAGTGTGCTGGTGTTATACACATGATGACCACCTCGGCTTTCCTCTTCTCTGTACTTTGAATTTTTTTTCTTTTTTAAGATCCAGTATACAAGCATACAGTAACCAAGCACTCTGCCACCGAGGTGTGTACCGACATTTCTGATTGAAGGTTGTCTTTAGAAGCAACTTCAAGCTAAGTCAACGTTTCTTCTGCTATCTTAATATGTTGTTAAATCCATAGTATTTTTGTTATTTTGCTTAAACATATGAAATTTTTCATTTTTAAACATATCTTCTCTTCACTGCAGAATATTTTGAATGATTATTTCCATGCTTTATTTCCTCTAGCATAATGGTCCTTACATTTTTAACCTACTTATAATATTTCCTTGGAAGTCTTTCTCTCTTAAATATAATATCCAGGGTCACTCAGTTATTTTCAGTTTTTACTGTTCATATTTTTCCCCTGAGTATCAGTCATACATTTGTTTTTCCTTGTATTTCTTAGCATTTCTGTTACAAAATTGAAATTTTTAATAATATTTTGTTATTTCTCTGAATTCTCATCCTTCCATCCCCTAAGAAGATGGTTTTTTTTCTCTCCTGTGTGGTTAGCCACTAATATCTCTGCTCACTTTAAAGAAAAAGCCTCATTTCTAAGTGCAGCACTGTACATTTTCCTTGAGAGTCACTGTATCCTTAGCTGATATCCAGGGTTACACAGAGCCTATACTCCATTGCCAGTAAATTTCTGTCCAACTGGATGTGCATTTGGGTAAGGGAGTACTTTCACAGTTTAACCATTTTCAAACTGGCCATAGCTTACCTGATGGATTTTATTCACCTCTTGGGTTCTAAAGGGTGCATTTTTAGCATATCCAGAATGGCATGCCAGCTAATCCTAGCTTAGCAACTACATCCAGTTCCTGTGTTTATAACACCCATACAAATGGATTATAAGATATTTATCTGATCTAATGCAAGTGGATGCCACAGAGGCTCAACACTTTCTGTTAAAACTTAGTTCTCATTTCTGCAAAGTTTTTTATCAGGAAATATAAAAGACAATCTGGATGACTCCCCTTCAACAAAGAGTAGTTACCTCCACTTTGGCTAAACCTGATCCTATTTCCATGCACTGGTGTATACAGTGATCACTGAACCATTTCCTTTTCCTTCAATTGGCTCGAAGCAATGTAAATAGGGCTAGCTGTTTAATCTTTGATGCTAGGCAACAGTCACTATTTCCCCACTCCTTGATTCCCATGAGGCTATGGTTCAGCTAAGGGAGATGGAAAGCCACCACTCCAAGGCTGTGACTGGATTCTAGCCTCAAGATAAGAGGCAGTGACTCCCCAGAACACAAAATCTTACAAATCAGAATGGAAGCACCACCCTCTAGATAGTAAATCTACCTTAATTGTGTTATGTGATTGGTATTCCTGCAGTCCTTCTCTCTGCATATTGCAGAAGTGCTTTCAGGCCTCCTTACTAGCTGAGCTCAAAGTACTCACCATTTCCCACCATCCTCATAGTCATTCATCCTCAGGCTACTTCTTTCTTCATGAATTAATAAAATCTGGCTTAGGCCCTGGGTTGAGGACTTTGTTTGGATGAAACATAATCTTGGCAAGACTAAGGATTATTGGAGACCTTTCAAAGAACCCCAATCTGTGTTAAGGGTACAGTGAGAGAAAGAAGAAAAAAACAGAAATGAGTACAGTAATAAGTAAGTGACTGAGATGTCCATGTCTCCAGATGGGCCAAGCCCCAATACTCCAAGACAGTCAGTATTGGGTATATGTCATGATAGTCAGGACTAGCAAAAGATTCAAATTTGGCAGAAGATTCAGTTTATGATTCAACAGGCAAGTATACTCCTGAGATGATGCAAAAGGGCGCAGATGATCTTTTGCTAAGAAAGATCTTGCCTTACTCATCTTAGTTTTCATCTTACTGGGTGGGAGAAGATGACTCATTCTAAAAGAGCCAATGGGAAATCTCAAATTGGTAGTATCTATAATCCCAAGCCTCCATTGTATCCCTTAGGGAAATATGCAAAATTAGTCATTGTGAATTTGCAGTTCCCAATAAATGACCCCTTGGTTTCCCATAATTATAAGTATGTGTTAGTGTCTTTAACCTTGCTGTGGGTTGCACTGGAAGTAATGGATTGGAATTAACTTGCTAGAATTCCAGTAACTTTTCAAGGGGATTATAAACATAAGCTTCCCAGACTGCTATAAGTATGGGAAAAGGCTGTCTATAGTTGAATGGAAGCTTTATAAGTAGAGTCACAGTTCCTTCATACCTTAGGGATAAAGTCCTGAAGGATGGAAAACTGGAATTTCAAGAAAGATGAAGACCTAACTCCGAAAGATAAATTTGAGCTGTAACACTCAGCCGTGACTGTAGTTATAGCTTCCTGCAACCTCTGCCTTTTAACTCTAAATATTATTTTGTTTGGTTTAAACATAATTTTGTTTGGTTTACATAATAAGGGCACTATTATGAAGAACAAGACTCTGTATGTGTATTTGGGCCCAGCTGTTGGCTTAATTTTTGCTTAGGACTTAGGAAGGACATCTAGGGTAAAGAGCAGCAAGTGCATTGCCAGCTTTCTGTCCAACCAAAAGTGTACCTGCAATGATACAATGAATAGCTGACTAAAAACCATGAAAGACAGGGACCAAACTGGCATAACAGAGCCTGAAATTCAGAACAAGTACTATAAATTTTAGGACAATGGATTGTGAGAGAAAAGCCATCATGGTTGGTATTAAATATTATACCCCTTAGTTTTCTTTCCTTATAGCTTCTTCAATACTGAGTATACTCAACTGCATTTAACTGGCTAAGCTAAGTAAAAATAGAAATAATTTCCTATATATGTAATCCAAGTAGTGGTTCGATTCATTTGAGTTAACATGTAAAGTGAGAAGAGATACCTTCTAAAAGACTTGTTTACTTGTCTCCTTAGCAAAAACCATGTAAACTTTCATGGAATTATTATTTGTTTATCTTTGATTCTGCAAGGCCTGTTCATACTTACAAAATAATAGTGAATCATTATATGTATCTGTAAAGTAAGATAAAGAACCACATATTATTTAAATCATACCACGGGTAGTCATGGGTTGGTTGCATTGAGACTTTACCTTATTGTCTTTCAAACTGGAAAAATCTCCATTCTCAGCATATCAGGTGCTTCTTTGAATGTGACAAAACTTTGTAAGTGAGGAAAGTTCATTATTTTAATGCGTGTTCTTTTATCTCACTAGGATGTGAAGGACACCGTGGAAAGGTATGTGTGTGCTGGCAAGGACTGAAATTTGGACATAAGCTTTGTGATTATTGAAATTAAGGAGTGTTCAATGGGAACAAAACATTTTCCAGGTTAGGGAATTTTAGATGCAGTGCTACATAAACATCTTGTCACATTCAGAGTTTCAGTGTTTTACTACTATTTAGAATTGACCAGAATGAACCAAATTGTATGGTAGGAATTTGATTCCTATGGAGCCATGATATAGAACAGTAGTGGAATTAAGCCTAAGCTGTTACACCATCGAACTTCTTGGTGTCACCATTTTATTCCCTGTGTCCCTCCATCTAGCTCTAGGCTTCAGATGTAATAGGAGCTTGATTAATTGTACATGGAGTACATCTTCCTTACCAAGTGAAAGAATTGTCCATTAAGATAATGCTACAGATAGCATTTATATTTTTCTCTTGAAAATGGTAGAGATCATGACAAAAAAAAAAAAAAAAACCTGGGTTGAGTCTGTGAAACAGAAATTTGGTCCAAGTGCAAACAGCTGAAGCCCTTAGACTATTGTTCAGAAGAAATAAGGAAGGCCTCATCCTGCTGTCTACAGCTGCACAACTGTGTGGCACCATCAGGCTTTTCCAGCTCATGGAATTCAGATCGGTATCAGTTTGATGTTCCTTTGCTGAATGTTTGCAGTTTTTCCCAGAGAAAAAATAAAATTTGAAACCTCAGATGATCTCTGAGGAACACTTTGTTGACTAAGAGCTTTGGAGTTCTTGAGCTTCTTCAGGTACACTTATAAGCACAACCCTCTAAAAGTCAAATGCTGCAAATGTACTTCCTGCTTACTTGGATATGAGCCCACACCCATGACAGGAACTCTTCCATACATTATGCTTTTTTAATTTTAATTTTAGTCTGTGAGTTTTGTTTTGAAATACATAGAAATGGAAAACTAGACTTCTGACTGGTAAAGGTCATCCAAGGATCACAGAGAATGATTGAGCAGGCAGATATGTTTCTTATGACTTCAGAATAGGACTTTGTATCATCCCTTCCCAGGATGTCCCCATGGAGGATAGTTCAAGAGTAAAAATGTATTAAAATGATAGACGTGCGTGGTGTTTGAAAGCACAGGTGTGAGTTATGGAGTTTACTGCTTTTCCCTCCTTAGGAGTAAGTTATTGACTGTGAAGCAACCAAGAACTTTTCCCAAGAAACAAAGGATTTTGTTCCAAGCTCCTGATCTGAGGGAGACTCTACAATCACATCAAGGTGAGTAGAGCTACGTGGATGCTATGATCCATGCCTGCCTGTAATCCCAGCTGCTCAGAAGGTTGAGGCAGGAACATTTCAAGATCAAGTTCAGCCTGAGTAGCTTATCAAGTTAGGGAGACTGCCTCAAGGTAAAAATTTCAAGGGATTAGAGATGTGGTTGGTGAGAGAGCACTTACTTAGCATGCAGTAGGCACTGGGTTTAATCACTGATACCATCCAAATGCAAGGAGGGTGTAGAAAGCTAGGTTAAGTGTTTGACTGGGATTCTAGACAAGGCAGGAGCCAACTGAAGGATAGCAGTATCTAGTGTGGATAGAGGAGACAAGAAAAATTAACACCTGCTGGTGATGTGTTTGTATTACTAGTGAATGACTAATTAACCTTTTTCACTAATTCACTATACAATCATAGTTCCTTTGCCTTCCCTTGCACTGGAGAGGAGATAGATAGATGTCCATGTAATTTCTTTGCCTATACTGATTATTATGAATTTTTGTCATTTTAAAGCTAATAGATGTCCAATGCTGCTCAGTTAAAGGGAAATTACAGTTTCATAAGCCTCCTTTTGTCAATATATTTCACAATTTCTCATAGTTTGAGACCCATATTTCTCCTTCCCACACACACACACACAGTATGCTTCTGCAAATGTACTGCTCTCCCTAAGACTCTTGAAGGAAAATCCTCCTAGTCCTTTTTAAAGGTTTCCCCAAGAATCCTCTCATAACATTACACATGGTGTTATATCACATCCCTCACCAACATTGTAATTTTTCTACAGATACTGTGACACTGGATCCAAACAACTATACAGGTATTGAGGTTTCTGCAGATTGGACACCAGTTTGCATCCCTCATCAACATCATAATTTTTCTACAGATCCTATGGCACTGAATGCAAGCAACTATACAGGTATTGAGGTTTCTGCAGATTGGACACCAGTTTGCATCCCTCATCAACATCATAATTTTTCTACAGATCCTATGGCACTGAATGCAAGCAGCTATACAGGTACTGAGGTTTCTGCAGCTTGGACACCATTTCACATCCCTCACCAATGGTCATAATTTGTATGCAGATCTTATGACACTTAATCCAAGCAACTATACAGGTATTAAGGTTTCTGCAGATTGGAGACCAATAACAGTAACAAAAAATCCATCCTGGCCATTCAGATCACATGGAGACAACACAGTCATAAGACCTGTCAGTTCAAAAATGAATGTCTGGAATTAAGTGATGGAAGATGCTTCAAAACCCACTTTAACTTCAGCGTTCCAAGTTATCAACCTCACCATGGATTTTGGGTCATGGGCTGCAGAATAAAGTTAAATACCAGGATTTTGGTATTTGTCTGAGAACTCTAATCCTTGAGACAGCTGTCCTTTCACTGCCTGTTCCTCCAAGTTATGTTGGAGTCTCCAGACTGTGAAGTTCATTCTCTCTCATTCTACAGTGTAACTGATCATGGGTTTCTCCTCTATAAATTCTCTTAGTGTTCCTTTTCTGGTAATTTTTTTCCCAATTTTCAGTCCTGGGACATGTTCAGAGCCTGTGGCATTATGTGGGCCAAATGCATGAGCTTTCTTACATGTTCATCCTTTTCCCTTGCATGCTTATGGCTGAGATGTGCATCTCCTGCCTTTGAGTTCCCTGCTCCTTTTAACCTGTCTGCCTGCTGTCTCCTGGTCTCCCATCTGGATGTCCTTCATTCACTGTGGGATCTGCACATTCTCTCTCACCACTTGTTTCTCACTGTCTCACTTGATCAGGAGAGAACCTTAGTTTATCACTTTCCATATGTCCAAGGAAATGGCAGAGTCCACTTAAGAAAGGCCACTACCAAAGTGACTGCGGGGTTCAATCTTTACAGCCTCATTCTCTGCCACTGAGAAAGGATGAAGGAAAGTGTTCACCTAACTTTCTGAGCATCAAAGACTGTTTATAAGGCTGTTCCCAGGAAAGAATGAGGCCTTCACAGTAGAGTAGGTCACTTTAACCATGATGCTTTTTTTTTTTTCATCCAGGGGTGAAAAATAGAATTTCATCATAAAAAATAGTGTCACAAATCTTTTTCAAACAGGACAGGGAGAGGAGAAGAAGGGACATCAAACTTACACTGTTACATATGTGTACCATCCCCACATGATGAAATTTAACATTACACACCGGAAACATATACTAAAAAACTTTTTTTAAAAAAATTTTTTTGGTACTGGGGATTAAATCACGATCTCACGTTTGCCAGGCACTTACACTGCTGAACTAAACCCTCAGGCCTAAAAATGTTTAAAAAGAAAAGAAATCACCAGTGATCTATAATCCAGAAAAGAGACTTTGTGTTCAAATTTTCCATGTTCAAATCCTATATTTCCATATCCTAGCAGTGTAGCTTTGAATAGAGTGCTTGAATGTTGTGTGTGGTTTCTTATGTGTACCCAATAATCTTGATCACTGTGAGAGAGAATAAGTTGACTATTAAGTACTCACTGAATTGTCTCAGTAAATATTTGTTCTAGTAATAATTGAAAAATGAAAATCACAAGAAGTAATTCCAGCACTTGAAAGACTGAAGCAAAAACCAGTGCAAGTTTGAGACCAGCCTGTGCTAGATAGCAAACTCAAGACCAGCCTGAACTACATAGTGAGACCCTGTCTTTGGGGAAGAAAGATGAAAAAAAAAAAAGAATGAAAGAAAGAAGAAAGAGAGAGAGAAAGAGAAAGAAAGAAAGAAAGAAAGAAAGAAAGAAAGAAAGAAAGAAAGAAAGAAAGAAAGAAAGAAAGAAGGAAACAAAAAAATAATAAAAAAAGAAAGAGATAAAAAATAAGGTAATGAAACAGGCCACACAAATGGGAATTTCAATTGATGTAAAGAACATCTCTCTTTTAGGTACCATTCTCAACACCGCTGCACTTTTTTTTCATCAGACTAGGCACCTCCTGGACCCCAAAACAACTGCACTTTTTCCAGATACATTTTCTGTCACAATTTTAGAGTGCTGTGTATGTGAAATTCTGGTATGACCACATATTGTTATCTATAAAACACATTCTGTGGGAATCATTAACCATTTGTAAAAAAATACATTATAAAGGAATAGTAATAATGAAATATATTTCATATAGCATTTTAAAAACCAAACAACACACAGACTTGTTAGTTATTAATCTTATGCATGGTAAACACAACCAAAAACCAGCTTGGTATCTTAATTTTTGGCGTATTCTCTTTTGACTAAAATAAAAAATTTTAAAGCATATCTATCAGTTGACTTATAGAAACTTCATTCCCCAGTTCTGTTTTAAAAATAGAATACGTTTAAAGATGACAGGTTTTTTATTAGTAAGTTGTATGTTTCTATTTGCCAAATGAGCGTTTCTAACTTCATGGCTATCTAGTCATTTCTCACATTTCTGAAAAAGTCTCTTTCATTCAAAGCCTTTTTCTGTATTTTAAAATAAATTGATTTATTATTTTTTTTTCTATTTTTACTCTTCTGAGGATTGAACCTCAGGCTTTCACACTGGGTTCCACCATGCTACATGCCCAGCTGCTTTTCAGTTCTTATTCTGAGGCATGGTCTCATTATGTTGCCTGGGATGAGCTAGAACTTAGTATCCTCCTGACTCAATCTCCCAGAACATTAGGATTACAGTCATGTGCCACCAAGCCAGGATAAATATAGTGTTTATTATGCATGATTGTCATGTAGTAACAAGTACATTTGGAGTAAGCCTGAGCAGTAGTGTGGTGAGAATTGTGTTTGGATTGCTTTACTCTTTGCATTGATAGAAGCTTGTAGTGTATCACATGAAAGAGGGGAAATATCTGTTCTTCTGGAGTTTAAGATCCTTGCTTCTGCTGGCCAGGGAACTTCACAGCTTCCTGCTGCACTGGACCACCTCGGCAGGTCTTGGGCCTGCCTGCACCAACTTCCCAGCTTCCTGCCGTGCTCGGCCTACTCCTGGGATTTGAGATTACAAATAAATAACATCATGCTACACACAAAACATCTAGAAAAAGAAGAGTGAGTCAAGCCCTAAGACAAAAGAAGAGAAGAAACTATAAAAATCAGAACAGAAATTAATGCAATAGAGACTAAGAAAACAATCCAAAGAATCAATGAATTGAAGAGTTGGTTCTTTGAAAGAATAAATAAAATTGATAACCCCTAGTCAGCCTTATTTTAAAAAGGGAAGAAAAAGCTCAAATTCATGCAATAAGGAATGAAAGAGGAGAAATAACTACAGACGCTATAGAAATACAGAAAATCATCAACACCTATTTCAAAAACCTCTACTCTCAAAGTTTTGATAACACAGAGAAAATGGACAGATTCCTAGAAGCATACAAAGTACCAAAGCTAGGTCATGAAAATGTAAAACTACTGAATAACCCAATTTCTATTAATGAAATCAAAAATGTAATTAAATCCTGACCTACAAAGAAGAGTTCAGGCCCAAACGGATTTCCTGCAGAATTCTACAAGAAATACAAAGAAGACCTAATGCCAACACTCTTCAAACTCTTCAATGAAATTGAAAGGGAAGCAATCCTTCCTAAGTCATTCCTGGAGGCAAATATTACTCTAGTACCAAAACCTGAGAAAGACCCCTCTGAAAAAGATAACTACAGACCAATCTCCCTAATGAACACAGATGCAAAAATCCTCATTAAAATATTGGCAAATAGGATGCAGCAAATCATCAAGAAGATCATACACCATGACCAAGTGGGATTCATCCCAGGCATGCAGGGATGGTTCAATATACGTAAATCAATAAATGTAATACACCATATCAATAGAGCCAAAAGTAAGAACAACATGATCATTTCTATAGATGCACAAAAAGCTTTTGATAAGGTCCAACATTCATTCATGATAAGAATCCTGCAGAAAATTGGAATAAATGGTCTTTACCTCAATATAATAAAGGCCATCTATGACAAACCAACAGCCAATATCTTACTAAATGCCCAAAAATTGAAGGGCTTTACTTTAAAATCAGGCACAAGACAAGGATGTCCCTTATCACTGCTCCTATTTAATATAGTACTGGAAATACTAGTCAGAGCAATTAGACAAGAGAGAGAAATAAAAGAATGGATAAAAAAGTTGTGGTATTTTTATACAATGGACTACTACTCAGCTATAAAGAATGATCACATTGAGACATTTATAAATAAATGGACACAGCTTGAGATGATACTAATAAGTGAAATAAACCAAACTCACATGTATAAATACCGAGTAGTTTCCCTAGTGTAAGAAATGATAAGAATACATAGAAGTATGTGGTAATCATGATTCCCACTCATACTGGTTTGAAGCCATATAATGTTTTCACTCATTAACCGCAATGATTTTAGCCTGGGTTGTTCAATTCTAGTATCTATGATAGCACGAATAGCTATTTTGAAGAAAGCAACACAACATAAAAACTAGTGCTGATTTAATATCGTCTTGTTTTGAAGTCCCATCCAGCTATAGTACATCTGTTTCCACTGGTTTTAACATATTGTATCTTACTATATTTCACTATGTGCTATAGTATAAACAAAACTCTTTATAGGCAAAGACATAATATAGAAACCATAGTTTGTTTTCTATTAGCAGGTTCTAAATACCCTGTAATTCTTGCATTCTCTTGAAAGGCTTCACACTGTCTAGATACGCTTGATATTATAGCATGCGAAGTTACACTCAAATAATTTAAGGAAAGAAGCACTATGGTGACTACTATTATGTTAGATTATCTAGTGGTGAAACACAATGATGCTTGAATTGCTCGGTTCTGTGCTGCCTTATTCTATTACAATGTCCTTTCTTATCTCAATCTTCCCCCTATTTTTAAATTAATCTATTTTCTCTCTTTTTTTAATTAAGGGAAAACTAAAAGAATAACGGGACATATTACAGTAACTTTTTTGTTGTCCTATTAACCTGACTTGAACCCCAGTATTGCTCACTCCATCTTGTTCTGTCTGATTATTATATATTCTATTTTGTTTGATAGTATCAAGTTTGAGGGTATAGGTAATCACTTTGAAGGCAATAAGATATACTATGATGCCCAATATGGATTGACTATCATCCTTTTTTTTTTTTTTTTTTTTGAAGTCCTGTAAGGTCCTCACTGTAGATTTCATTGGTTTTGTTCTGTATTGTTTTGATCGGTGCTATTATACCTGGTGATGTAGACAACTCAGTTTAAAAGTAGCAAGAGGCACAATGGTAACTACTTTTGATCACCTGGTATTCTATTTTTGCATCATGTACTATGCCCACCCTTCTGTTCTAACTGACTCTATTTTGCTTAGTCACATTTGTTTTTGTTGTTTTCAAAATAGTAATAAGAACCGTGAGAGTAATAAAATCCTAAAAGTCTAATTGTTACTGTGAAAAAGAGAGGAATGTAAGGTGGACTAAGGGATAAAACCGCAGGTATGTTCGAGAGTGTAGGACGGAAAACCATATAACAGCTTTTGTTGGATCATTGAATGGAACTGTCTCCAGTTCCACTGCATGAATGTTCACTTTTTATGCTTTAATTTAGTGATATGGACAACTGTTTCTGGGAAGATAATGTGTAGCCTGTTAACTGGTGATTTTGTATTGTATATATTTTTTTCTAGAAATACTATATTATTTGTACCCTTTAAAAAAAAAAAACTAAATTACATGCCCACCCAAAGTGTAAGACAGTTCCTTTTATCCACATTTTTGGCATCCATTGTTTTCATTTTGTTCTTTATTTATTTTGTCTTTTGTGAGACAGGGTCTCGCTATACAATTCAAACTGGACTGGAGTTCACTTTGTATCCCAGGCTGGTCTTGAATTCACAGTGATCCTCTTGCCTCAGCCTCCAGAGTGCTGGGATTACAGGCGTGCACCACCACACCAAGCTGAAACTTTGCCTTTAATTTTAATGACAGTACCCATTCTAACAGACATGAAGTTATACCTCACTATAGCTTTAATTTATATGTTTTTGATGATTAATGATTTTAAGCATTTTTCATCTACCTGTGGGTCATTTGTCTGTCTTTTGGGAAGTATCTATTCCGGTGCTTTGTCCATTTTATAAATTGAAATAGTTGTTCTCTGTTTTTGATGTATAGATGAGTTCTTTGTAGGTTTGAATTTTGTTCCTTTATCACTTATATGATTTGTGTATCTCTTGTCATTTGATTGATTGTTTCATTTGCTGTGCAGAAGCTTTGTAGTTTGAGGTAATCCTATTTTTCTCTTTGTTGCTTTTGCCAGTGCTTTGGATTTCATACATATATGAAAAGTCTTTACAGATCTGTCACAGGGTTTTTGCCCTATGTTTTTTTCCAGTAATTTTATGCTTTCATGGGTTATGTTTAACTTTTTTGTACATTTTGAGTTGATTTTTACATACAGTTTGAGACACAGGGTCATATTTCATTAGGCAGTTTGTAGGTATGCAGTTATCCCAGCGCAGTGTACTCAAGACATAGATCCTTCCACACAGTGTATACTTTTAATTTCTTGATCAAAATTCAGCTTAACTGTAAACATATTGATTTTATTTTCCTAGATCTCTATTGTGCCACACTGTCAAATGTGTCTGTTTCAATGTCATTACCATGTGTTTTGATTACCATAGTTTTGTAGTGACTTTTAAAACCAGGTATTGTGATAATTCCTCCTCCTTTCTGAAGGTTGGCGTTTTGGAGCTCTTTTGTATAGTTTCCATATGTATTTTAGAATTCTTTTGTATTTCTTTTAAAAATGCTGGAATTTTGATATGATTTTCATAGGATCTATACCTTATACTAAGTAATATGGACAATTATCAGTGTTAGTTCTTGCATATCTTTCATTTATTTGTCTTTTTCAACTGCTGTCATCAGTGTTTTAGAGTTTTCTTTTTTTTA